TGCAATCAAGTATGCTATCTCAATTCACAGTAATGTTAAAAATCTTTATACTAAGTGATTTGCCATTTTCTCAGTCTGGCCAGTAGGATAGACTAAATAGCAAAAACATATGTTAAAAAAATCAAAATATCGAAGGTGTTCATTAAGATTTGAATCAAAATCCTCTGATTCTTCAGATTTCTGTTGATGGTAATAATTTTGATACATTGCCATTGGTAAGTGCTACTTAATAAAGCATCACTAATTTTCTCAACAGATTTTACTGATGGATGCCATTTTCTGCAAAATTTAACATACTGTCATAAAACTGAAAACAATGTTCATAAGTCCAAAACATTCTTCTGCTTTCCATCACAGTTCAGCTATATATGATATTTCAATATATGACAATTTTTTTCTGAAAGTATTTTTTAAGAAAAGACCATAATATAACAAGATTATATAACATTTTAAAATTATATTTTGGTAAGGAGAATAGCTTTAAGAATAATGAAGAAATGCCATACAAGCATTAAAGTGTATGCTGCTTTGCATGTGTGTGGAAGCTATTCTGAGCCTTCATACAATGCAACTCACAATGTCAAAAGACAATAATTAGCATTCTGCATTGTTATCAGGAAAGCTCTACATAGTTTATTGCATGTTGATTGTATTGATTACAGCTGGAGGCATTGATAGCATAAATAGAGTGTCTTTAATTAATCAGAATGCATGATTAGGTTTCCTGTTTTAAGGAGATAAACTAGCTTCTTGAAGAAGTTCCCCAAAAAAATGTTCTTTATTCAGTAAACATAAAAACACAATAAATGGGAACATAGGCCACAGTCTGCATTTCTCAGAATATTGCTGGTTGTTTCCATGCTTGGCTCTACTTGATGATGAGTAGATGAGGCAACATCTACAAATTTTTCAGGATTTTTTTTTTTTAAACTTACTCATACACTGCCTCTCTCTCTCTCTTGCACACGCATACACACACATGCTTTAGTTGCTTCCTAAAAGAACTGCAGATTTCATTGTAGAAAAGTCTGTCTTAACTGCTAGACTACAGCGTCTATCAGAATTACCACCGTCATCCCACTTTTCAGAGGTTTATCAATCAACTGCCAGTATTTACTCTCTACTACAATTTGGTCAAGAAGATTTCAGCACACATGAGATTTTTTTAAGGTTTTTTTTCAAGATTTTAGGAAAAGTTGATTTAAACATTGTTAAGTAACATGTGGAAGTAATAAACCAGTTTTTAATACATATTGTGTAAAAAGTTTCAACCTTAAAAGTAATACTAAGTCAACAGTGAATCCATAATATTGTAGTGTTTTGATTACTTGTCTTGGTGGGAGGGATTTGAATAGCAAAACTATTTGTTTTTTGTGGACATGGAGAGAAAAAAATATGAACTGAATCTAAACTGTCTTAACAGGAAATATTAAACTTCCCAACACATCTTAGTTGCCTCTGTCATAAATAAACACTCCTTTGTCTCCCTTTAGAACCCTCAAAATCCCTAGATCTTACACTTGCACCTACTAGGGAAAATAATGATTCATGTGCTAAACTAGGTGGAGCAAAATAAATATAAAGATGAAGCTGAACAACTCCTTTACATTAGAATTGACTCTAATAAATGAAGGACAAAAAGACAAAATCATCCAGCTACTCACAAATCATCCCATCTCTGATTTCTCTGACTTGATCTTTCAGGAAGACCTTCCAGAGATGAGACTTTAAACTAAAATTCATAAATTTCCTGAGTTATAAGAACTATTAATTTAACAGACATACTGGTTTAATGACACATGATTACCTCCCTCCCTCAACGTTCACTAAATGAATTGTCTCTTTCTTTTCCATCGGAGGTAATTGCCTTATTATCTTTCTTTCCTTCTTACCAACATCCTCTCTGTTTTCCAAGTGCCAACTATTTTCTTTAGAAATTCTCTGATACATATTTTATATGAAAAACACGTATCTTTAAACTCTTCTGGTTTGTGCCAGACTGCATATATATTCTAAAGCTTCTTTACTTTTCTAACTACATTTGTTGGTCTGACTGAGATAATTCTCGTTAGAAGCAAACACTGTCTTTCCTCTGTCCTTGCACCACTTTTGCTTCAGCAATCTTCCATGCAGAAATATTCTAGTTCTTCTTTGGATCTCAAACATCACTGTCTTTTTAAAAAGCTGTAGTGAATTTGGAAGAAAGGGTAGCTTGGGAAGCAGAGATGTAGATTAACACTAACGGTTCTATCTTACCTTCTCTAGAATTGCTGCAGTTTCTCCAAGAGATTGCCTTTGCTGACATTGTGTTTCAGTGCAATTGTCTGACCACGTCCTATGAGCATGGTCTTATTCTACTGTTAGACTTACGTTGGCTGATTCTGAGGCAGCACAAACCACACATGCCAGTAGCAGAAATGGAAAATATGTTCTACCGTGCCACTGGACATCATATCATGAGTTTAACTGTTATTCCTAAAAACTTTTGAAGCTTTGGTGTAAGCAAGGACTCTTTGGCTGTATTCAGGGAATGCAAATACAGTGGGTAATGATAGAGTGAGCTAATAATGAGTTGTCTAGGCAAGCATATTGCTGTGTGGGTTAGTTGTACCAGTTCTCACTGGCATTAGCTGAACAGCAGAGGAGGAGAAGGATTGGTTGGGAAGTTGTCCATATATGTGAAAATAATATGATGGTATAAAAAAATTTTGAATTATGTTTTTTACATATTGAAATGATGGAAAATTCAATATCTCTTCCTTTAAATCTGCTATACTACTTGCTGGATTTCTACACCAGCAGTTCTGTTTCCTGAGGCAGAAAATTAGTTTTTTCCGTTTTGACTGCAAACAGATAGGTGGTTGTCCCCTGATTCACCCCAGATTATGCGTACGTGCCAACAGGAGATGATGTGGAATCAATAACGAGTCTAGAAGTAGCATAAAAACTAACAAAAAAAAAAAAAGCAATTGGCATATTTTAGCAATTATAACACATGACTGAGCCTTGCCAGATTTCTGTCAGAAGCAAATCTTATATGAGATCATCAAGGCTTTTCAGAAAGTAGAAGTATATTAACCACTTACTTGTTGTTGGACAATTGAGTTGAGACAATTATAGTCTGGCAATGTAAAGAAATCTGTCAAGCTTTGGAAAATTTCATCCCTTCTAGAGGAAGCCATGGATGTTGAAGTTACCTCCACAGCTCTGGCTAATCTCCCTGGCCTCTAGCACAAGTTTGCATGTATAATGTTTTGTTTTGGAAAAGACATGGCCAGACATAAGTTGAATCAACCCCAAACCAAGTTTAATTTACTCCATAGAGCTGTGCTGTTCCCACAGCATGAAGGAAACGTAAGGGAATGTAAAGACCATTTTTCCCTTCCATTGTCTTGCCTTGCAGTCAAATAGGTTGGTCAAAAAAGATGGATCTGGTTCTATCAAAACGAGATGATTTACTGAGGTCCCTTGAATTCTGTGCTCAGATGTTAATTTGCAATTACTTATTCTCATTAATGGTTATATGGAAGCTTTACTGTGTTCTAGCTCTTTACTATTGAAGAGGAGAGAAGGGAACTTAAGGAAACATCAGCTATGCACAGTTTACAGAGATGAGTTTCATATATGAAAAGAATTACAAGATGTGGTCACCTGGACAAGGAATGTCTTAACTTTGTGATTTAGACGTGTCCTTCCAGGACTATCTTTCTCTGATTGATAGTATAATATGAGTGACTTTTTCAGTGAAAAAAACTGCAGTTCAGTTTGCAATAAAAAGCAGTAACAATAACAATAAAAACGACTGTTCTGTTTTCCTTTCTTTGAGCTATAACAATCAAAGACAGTGTATCATAAAGTGGTGTATGTGAAATGAACGTTGAACTTTGCATGAATGTATGATAACATAAAAATCATTTTTAAAAGCTATCACAAAGGAGTGTTCAGGAGAGACATAAATTGCCTATCAAATTGAACAGGTGAAGAAGGTCCGTACTCCCACCTCTATGATAAATATCCCATCAAAATTTTTTCTTTACAGAAGCAAAATAGATATGACAGCTGTGATGAGAAGAGTTCTCTGTATAGTTTTGCCAGTAGCTAAAATCATGTTACACTCAATAACAATTTTTTTATTTATAACACATGACATTTTATAGCAATAAAAAATAGTTACAAACAATTGTTTATAACATATTTACCTAACAAAGTTTTTTTTTTTCAATAGCAACAATTCTATCAACAATAAGATCCTGGCTCAATCCAATGTTTCCTTCTTAAAAACACTAGGAAACTGATCACTAATTCCATTCCTTTATTGAAATTTTTTCAAGTTAAATTAAATTATTTAATACAAATCAGCTGTCCCACAGTTCATGACCACTGAGTTGGTATTGTGCTGTTAGTGGAATCCATCTCATGTCTAAGCACAGCTCTAACTCACCAACCATCCAGAGTGTGAATAATACACCACTTTATGTCACCCTATTCCAGGGGGCTCCAAGCGCTGCCAAGTCAGTGGTAAGCAAACACATCTCTTGTGATTGTCTTTAAACCTTTTTCCTTAGAGAGGATAAGGATTTTTAAGCAAACTGACCCCCACAGTCTCTCATTGACCACAGTTTGTTCATTCCAAGTCTATTCCTCAGAATAGAGTGAGTCCTGCAGGCTTTTAAAGTATAGCTCTGTGGATTATGGATTGCACCTCATGTACACCTTTTGCTGAGAGGGCAATACCAGCTGAAATCTGCAAAGCAAACTTGACTTAAAATATAGATTTTTGGTATGAACAGAACAGGCGAAAAGACGAAGGAAGCCTTAGCATTTAATAATTGTGTTAACTGTTAAGGTTTTTTTAATCATAATAAAATCCAGCTTGATTTTGTTGCATCACACTCAACCTGCAATTTCCTTTGAAATTTTTTTTAATAGTCAAAAGAATTAGAGCAAATAGGAATACAAACTGTGCTTTTACAAATGATATTTTGATTCGTATTTTTCAGGGACTTGTTGGACATGTTCAGTCCTCCCATCATTCCTGGAAGCCACCAACAGGAGGAACACACTAAATCTTCAACAAAACAGAGTATTCCAGGTAGGAATTTATAAAGACAATCAAAAGGACCTGGATGGAAGGACATTTCTAAATGCTGTTTCTGTAGTGCTGGTACTGCCTTTTCATAGTTTTCTATACTGCTACATTTTGATTCCAAGTTCTCTTATTTATTATTAGGGGATAAATCATCTTCTGATAGAATAACATAACACAGTTGTAGTTTTCCAGTGTTCTGGCTCAATATGGATTAACTCATAAAAAATGTATCTTGTTTAAAATAAGGAATTTATGCTGGATATAAGGGATGGCAAACCTATGACAGAAAGAATGCAAAGACTAAACATTCTTATTCAGAAGCACAATTACACTTACATAAGTGATACTTCTCTTATGAAGAAAAATTTCAGATTTAGCCTTAAATGAAATCTCAGTGTGATTTCCTGAGTAAAGACTGTTGCTCAACACCTAAAGTGTTACAGGTTTTTGTTTATTAATGGTGTTTGTTTAGAGAATGCTGCAACTGGGAAGTCAACAACAATAGAGTAAAACTAACAGCTTGCTTTCTTCAAGTGCCCTTTTTTCTTATTAGCTGTCTTAGGAACAGGGTAGATATCTACATCTTTCTTCAAGTCTGGGGAATTCAATGTGAAATCTCATAAATCTGACCTGTGTGTTTGGGCTGCCCAAGGGATGAAGATGTCTCAGTGATTTACTGTCTAAAATAGATTATGCCCCTCAAATTGTCAGTGTTTTCATAAATGTATATTTGTAATTGTTTATGACAGCAAAATAGAATTTTGCTGTCAGGAAGGGACCTTGCTTTGAAGAATCAAATAACATGTTTTGTTAAGAGTCCTAAGTAAGCCAAAAAGAACTGGACAGTAATCCTTGAGTTCAAGTCATGTTGGATATAAAACTGTGATAGGTCTCTGAGAATTTTTTTATGTTAGCATTATGAAATCCAAGGCTTGCTTCAGTAAAGCTAGAATTTCTGTAAATTTTAAAAATTGCATTATTATCTTTAAAAAGGTTTTAGAAAGAATTATACCTGGGAAGTTATTCACACTAGAATTTCCAAACTGGTTTGTGTTGTTCTTAAACTCATTTTCCTTTATGCTGAAATATTTTACATCATGTGCCCGTGAGTGCACATTTGGAGAACAGAAAATCTCTATGTACCATAGCTTTTTATTTAGGCTTTTTATTTTGGTGTCTTTGTTCAGTCAAATTACATTCTGACTCATGTATATGTATGATATTTGTAATTTTGATAACTTCACACAGAAACTTTTTATCTCCAAATACTCCAGAAGTGTTGAGATGATCAAGCTTCATTTCCCCAAGAAGTTTGAGGAAATAAGAGAGAACGACAAAGTCATTCCCTCCCCAAACAGGAGAGTTTGGATTTTCTTTGAACTAGTAGACACCTTTATCTATTAAAGTGGCAGAGAAGCAGCAGAGTAATCCTAGCAGCTGTGGGTAGGGGAATCCTGATTGGCAAACTAAGGGGGCAGCTGTATGATATACAGCATCTTCAAGCAACTCCAGACCTCCCTTCCTGATTGTTTACAGTCCTTGGAAAATAATGTCCTTGCACTATACTGGGAGAAAACTGACATGGTTTTGCTCACATAAAAGATACACTTAAGTGAAACACAGATCTTTAAACATAATATGGTGGTGCATGAAAATGCAGTGCAGTGTAATACCTGTCAGATTAGATTGTACCTGTCAAACATTAGAATCTGTGTGGTTTTCTAGATATCTTGGTTGGAAAAAATCTTGATGGACCATGGTAACTAGATGGTATGGAGTATCATTTTTGAAAGAAATGCTAAATAGGTCTTTTCCTGTGATACATCTCTTGCACTACAGAAAAAAAACCTTTTTTTTCTTAATCAGTTCACTTTAGGTTAGTTGTGTGACAAAATAACTGTTTTATTATTAACGATTAAGTACCAGATCTGATCAACAAACTGAATGCTCAAATTCATTCCAGAAAATTCTACTGCCCTACTCTTTTTTTTTTTAAGTATCACATTATAAAATTAGTTATTTCTCATGTTGGGAAGGGACTTAAGTGTCACAAGATTATTTTGTGTGTGTTTGCAGTTTTTCAGTATTCTAAGTATCCCAGGATAACAAAAGCATATTATCAGTACTAAAAATCTGCAGTGAGTCATAATGTATTCAAGATATTAATTTTATCTAAAAGTATCCTTAAAGAAAAATAGACATTACAGCATTAGTATATTTATAAAAAATTTTAATTCTTACATTTAGAAAAAACCTTTAAGTTAGGGCATAACCTTGGGGAAAAAAGATTATTCATTTCTAGGAAAGCATTTTACTCTATAGTTCCTTTCTTAACATTTGCACCATCCATATTACATAGTTAAATAGGGAGGTGTGATGAGAAGTAGTCTTCTATTCAACAGGTTTCACAAGGCAATCAAGAGGAAAAATTAGGCTCATAAATATGATAAATTTACATAGATTTTTTTTTCCTTATTGGGAATTGATATTTCTGATTTATGGACAGTTTCATTCATCTTGACATAACAAGTCTTAACAAGAATGTTTCCACAGTAGGCAACAAAGGCAGAGTCGTACCTTCTCTGGAACTTTTACTTTATTGTATCTTGTTACTTGCCTTAAGATAGTGCTCTAGCACTGACCAGTCTTCATTCTTGGACTACAGCTGTTGACAGTAGTCACATGGTAACCGTGCAGTACATAATTACAGTCTAGATGTGAGCACTGCAGTTCAGTGTTCAAGGATCACATCAAAGAAAATATTAGCAGTATTCTTTTCAGCATCCCTTCTGCTGACAGCTGATCCAGTGCAGTTGACTTACATCAGGGTCAGAATATGATCCATGTATCTTAAAGTGAGATTTGCTACAAGCCATTTTCCAATATTAAAACCTTGAATACAGTGAAAATATATTTCTGTGGAAAGGGAAACTATTTATTTTAGTTCTCCAAACTGGGGTAACTATGCAAACAGTGTTAACATAATCCCAATAACAACACACTTATTTGTACATTTATTTCAGAGTTCAGGAAAAGCTGCTACATGCTTCCTCCATTCTTTGTTATCCAGGTTTAGACATGTTGAGTGAAAGCCTTCCTCCATAAAAAAAATAGTTCCCTGATTTCAGTGGGGAAGCATTTCATTTAATGTGACAGGTATTCAGAGGTACTATCTATCTTCAGTCTTTTTTCAGCTCAGAACTAAAAAATACTCATACCTCTATAATGTATATCACAGACTTCAGTTCTAGCTTAAAGTACTGTTGAATTTTGTAGTGATTTAAGAACAAAAGCTTTGATTTTGCTTTCACTGTGACATTCAAATTAAACTGCCAAGAGGTTTTTTTTTATGCAATCCTGAGCAGCTTCAACCCCAAGGTGTGGATGGTGGCAGCATAAACAGCTATGGAAATTTTGTTTGAAAGTGGCTTGTTTTTACTTTGGCTGTGGACACTTCATTCCTACATATGGTCAGGTTGCACACAATATGCCTTGTAGCACAACCATTACACATTAGTTGAGTGTTCTACAAGAATGTCACTCAATTTAATTAGTACTTCTTTTTAGGAAGTAGAAGAACAAGAGAGAGATTTTCATATGGTTTTTTTTTAGTCTGCTCAAAACTGAATACTCCATGCTGCTATTGGAAATCTGTTGCAACATCTAGAAATGCCTTAAAATGCCTTTAGGGATATTGTGAGATGCTAAAAAAAAAAATAAGACTAACTTTAAAAACAAGATATATCTAGAAAACTAATTTATCTTCTTGTTCACATGAAAATGCATGTCAGGAATTATTACTACAAAGGTATAAATCTAGCTCGTCCTGGATGCAATCTAATTCTAATTTGGTATAAATTCAAGGCATACAGGGAAAAAGCTATACTCCTGATAAGTCTGGAGAATTTCTTATTCCTAAATCAAACCATGGAGTATATTGAGAGGCCAGTTCCAAGGTAAAGAGGGAGCAAGATTTAACCTTAGAGAAGAGAATCATTTTGAAGAGAAGCATAGGCAGGGAAAAGCGAAATAATAAAAGGAAGACTTCAGTGGAAATAACAACATGGTTTCAGGTGAAAATTAAGGCTATGTGAGGGAATGAGGCATGAATACCATTTGCTTGTGTACTATGATCTGAAGTGTAGAAAAAGACATTCAGTTCTATGCCTTCTTTCTACACTGCATGATTTTTCCCAAGAGCTATCCAAACAAAATATCTCAGTTAAATTCATTTCGCTTACCAGACCTGATTAAGTACCCACAGCAGAGAGGGCAACAATTTAGCATTACCTTTTTACCTTTGGTTACAGTAAAAGACAGTTTCTTTCTGATGGCATTTGTTAATGCTACTGAGGAAACAAAAATGAAATATCTTCTGAAATGATAAAGTGCACACTACTTCTCTGTGCATTAAATGCACCAACCTGCTTTCTGGTCTCTAGATAATGTATCCTATATATCGTTGTGTGATCCTGGCTGTAAATAGATTCTGAGCATTGTGAAAGTGCTGCTGTTAGCATAACAGACCATTACTTATTATGAAGTGTTAGGGCATACAAAGCATTCCGTTTGTATTAGCAGTCTGAGAACAAGATGAACATTTATGATGAAATTCAAGATACAGATTGCTTTCAACTGTGAATTATTTCCTGTCAAAAAGCTATAGATCATATAACTTAGATTTAGCTTATATAAAAGACAGGCAGGTTTAGAAAAGGAGCTACAACATATAAAATGTCTGTAATAAAAGTCTGTATGGCTTTATCAGTATATTTTAGGCTAAGGATTCATTTCTGTTACCTGAAAACATTCTTGCATTTTATGTAACTTTAGACAACCTAGATTTAAAAATTTTATTGTCTGAAAGAATCTTATTTCCTCTCTGATACTGGAAGATCTTTTGTATAGCTGCACCTATACTGGACATTTAGGTAATGTACTAGATACCAGACATTCAAATTCTTTCATTCTTACAGGCCTTAAGTAGGCACTGACTGTCTTTGTGCTAAAACATTATGGTTTAAGAAGGTCATTGAGAAAAATATCCCTTAGGAATACTTTGATCCACTTTCAGTAAAGGTACCTCTGGTGCTCCATAGAGCTTTGTAAAGTCCAGTTGTTAAGCAAACTTGGACTGACATCGTTTCACCTCAGCTAAATACAGGTATTCAGAAATAGAGTAAAAATGTGAATGGCTGTTATCTTGAAGGTGACAATTTAGAAGTCAAAGACTGCACGCTTTAAAGAAAAACTCTGTCACATCTGGCAGAAAGGTTTTACCATGATATTGTCTAAGTGAATAAGAGTGATTCATTCTTACTTTTCACACTTAACACAGGTGAAGATGACTGCAATGCTGAAGAAGATGAGAAAGTTTTGACTCTTTTGTATGATCCATGTCTGAACTGTTACTTTGATCCAAATTCTGGAAAGTACTATGAATTGGCATAGTCAGATCATGAGATGATATCATTTTGTATACAGAGTAGGTTTTTCTTTTAACTGTTTGTAAAGTGTGACTGAGCTGTGTAATTTATCATGTAACTTAAAACTTGAATTAACTAATAGTTTTGCAAACAAATTAATATATTTTGTAAATAGTGTCTTATTTTTATAGTTTTGTATTAAGTTGTAATGCAGTGGAAAAATCACATAACATAAAAGTTCCTTGTGACTACAACATTTATTTGTTAGTCTAATTTATTTCCGATTTTCAGACATTCTGTATGGAAACAAATGAAACTGAATCGAGAAGGTTTGAAGTGTTTATCTGTAAATTATGGTTTTACTCAAATAAAAAAAAAATCATTACTGGTTTACTGTGTATTTTAATTGGTTCTGAGCTATCTTATTCTTTGTGCTCTTAAGATATACAGTATCTTGTTCAAAGGCCTCCATTTCATAAGCTCCCTCTCTCCCTTTAGTCATCAGAGAAAGCAGTATTTTCCTCATCTTCAAGAAATTCTCTACTGTTGCACATTATAGTAATGGGATGATGTCAAAGCTGTAGGGTGGTACCGTGTGTGCAGTGTGGTGCACTGTAAGGTGTGTGCATGGGCAGCTTATAAATCTAGACCACAACAGGGTAAATATGGCAGGCTCCAAGAGTACCAGCTACTGTCTACTTTACTGATGTAATTTAACATAGGACTGAAGAGCAGTTAGAGTGATTGCTTCAACACTCAAAAACTGGAGCCTTGTTTCATGTAAGGCAAGAAGGTGTGTGTATGATTCATATACGAAGCTGTACTCGGCATGTTGCTCTTACACATTAGTATTAGTTTTTCCGTTACACTTTGCAATAAAAGAATATAGTTTATTTAACCCATCTGTATCAGGTTCCAGTTAAGTTTTCATTGAGGATCCTAAAATTCCAACTCAGAATTTTAAATTACCTGCATCACCATGCAATTTTTTTTTCCTATGGTACATAAAATATCCCTATTGACCATGGAGAAAGACTATAGATGTAAACCAGACCATACATAGCTTTTGAAAATGAAATCATTATATGAAATAAATAAAATACTGTACTGGAGACATGTCAGGCTTTGTCTGCTCTAAATACCAGTTAGCCTGATCCTGATGTTTCTGCATTGCCATGGCTCCTACTTGGCTCCAGCTGCCTGGTATTGAAGCAAAGGTGTCAGGTAGGAGTTGCCCATGAAACAAGAAGTCCAAAGAGTTGTGTCATAATGGAATTGAGTTAGTGGAACAGCTTTGGAGTCCACCAGTTCAGTACATAACAGTTTTTCTGGAGACAATTGAAGGGAATGGCAAAATCATGTGGCAAAAATGATCTATAGGCATTGCTGGTGATTCCTGTTCTAAGTTTCCACTTGATTATATCCAGTGCTATTCCACTGTAATTATTTGCAAACTGATTACTCAGTGAATTTTTAAGAATAATGTATTTGAATGTCATAAAGTGAGCTTAGTAAGCTCACTGGCAAGTGATTTAAAATTATGATGTCTGTAAATTATACATAATTATGGATCCTAGTTAATGAATATCCTAGAATCAATTGAAATGCAGTTGTTAATAGTGACTTGGCATAAGATCAGATTGTGTATTTGGCTTCTGTGGCAGGTACAAACATATCATCACAAATTGATTGAAGTAAGAGGAGCACTGAAATCCACAGGAAGACAGATACTGTGTTGACATAATTTACTTACCCTGCCTTAGCCTGTTTCTCCCAGAAAGATTTGTACCTGTTCTTGCTAAAGCCATAATCAGTTTAAAAGTTCAATGAAATAATAATTTTGACCTTCAAAAATCAGATGTAGCTTGTGCATGCTTGTGCGTATCTAACCACCTTATTTTTAGCATTGTTTAGCAATCAGGACCATGCTCCCTATATCTGTGCAAGGGCTATTTAAAATGTGATGTTAATTTTGCTTTCATAGCTGCACGTCTCACAGGAGTGCTCGAATGTCCTAGTAGGGCACCATTGTGAATCCAAACTGATTCTACTGAGACAACTGCTCAGTTTGGGGGAAAAAAAATAAAAATAAAAAATACATAGTGGCTGCAGACTGGTGTGTGCTGTTTACGAGGCAGAAGCCTGCAAAGGTCCAATGGATTGTCTGCCAGTGCCTGTCTGAGTTCAGAGCAGGGAATCACTGCATGACATACAAAAGTGAACCAGTGGACATCCAAAGCCTGGACAAAAGTGAGTCCCTGGGGACTCCATGCTCTTATCCCCACCTTTAGTGAGATAAGGAGGCAGGCGGGCAGTGACACTGGGTCCAGGGTGAGTCTGTTGTTCAGACAGGTTCATAGGCAAGTCCAGATACACACTGTTTTCCTGTCAGTAGCACAGCAGTATTTTATAGGTAAGTCCTGATTTACAAAATCAGCAGTTTGGGATCCTTGCCCTTTGTGTTCTAGTTAGCAGCTTTGTGCCCTCAACATCCATGGGGATTGATTGCCGTAATGCTGTGAACAACACCTGTGAGCTGAGCGGGACGAAAGGCTGAGCTACAAGGACTGTAAGTTTTGCTCTCAATGTTTTTCTTAATCATCATCCTGTGAACCTAGAACTAAAGCACTGCTGGCACGCAGCATGCTTTTCGTTTAGCCAATTTGTCAAAGCCAGCATTTATGGCAAGCGATGAAGAACACAGAGATTTGCTCATAACAGTCCTGTGCAATGTTTTAGTCCATGAGAATCACATAGTTGTCACTAGAGCGTGCTTTCCAACAGGTAAAAAGACCTGTGTCTGGGCATAAAGTTTCAGGTTAATGAAACTGCAGGAATTACTTTCTACAGGTCCAGCATCAGTTATGATTTGGGGAACAGAAATTTTGAAATGCAGTAAATTTTAGTAGCTTTATTAATGTTTCTTAGATGTGCATTGAAAATAAAGGAACTGAACTTAGCTTGGTAGAGCTGCTGGAGTCAGCAGATCACAAGTCAATCAATTGGCCTTTCAGATTTTTTTATGTTCCTTATACACGTGAGGTGTGACAGACATCTCTGCTTTGTTTCCAGTTGCTAAAAAACACTGTTAACCAGATTGCAGACAGTTGAGAAGGGAGAAGAAATCTTTAAAATCCTTCTTAGCCACAGCCCAGAGCAGTGTGTTTTTATGTCATTGGAATGATTCTCCCCATTTCTCTCATTCTTTTTGCCTTAGGTCCATCTACCAAGGTTTTCTCTGAAGCCCAAGCAAATAACCAAGTTTCAGTGTTTAGATCTCTGTGGGCTGCAGCAGCATTGAGTTGCAGCTCACAGACAGCCTGGTCCATGTGAGCATCAGCATGGATTCCTCCAAGCAGCTGCTAGGACTTTGTCATCTTTGATCTCGTAGTGCTGTCACTTGTACCCAGGTGCTGCGTGTGTGTGCAAGCCTCATTATGCCAAACAAAGAACACTCTGTCCTAAGGAGCTTACAGTAGGACATCAATATTGATTTTTCCCCTCTGCTGCCACCATGGTTACTAGGTAAGGAACCATGAAAAGTCATACTTTATTATTCACATACCCCTCAGCCATAAGGCGTTCTGTTTAGGGGCATGTCCTCTAAACTTTAGGTCAAATGGCAAGCTTGCACAGGCTGAAAAATCCTTGAAGATAATTTTGCATAATGCATTTCATTTTCAAGTTGTTTTTCCATGGTATGTATTTATTTTAGAAAAGGGCTTGTTTTTTTAAGCAATGGGCTATGTGTAAAATTAAATGACAATCCAGTCTCAGGCTGTCTTTTCTATGTGGTATTGCTGATAATCACCACTTTTCTCATGGTTACTATAGTAACTTGGCATCCTTATCTGCCACCTTTTTTGGCACCTTGAAAAAAAAACTATTTAAATTCAGTTCCCTGATAAACTGAAAGCTTGGCTTCATGATACCCATGGGAGTATGTAAGTGTAACAACAATACCTGTCATTTTTTCTTATTCAGTGTTTAACTTGCTTGTTAGCAGCTGTACAGACAGTTCTAACTGTGATGTTTTGGGATCCTGCTGCAGGCGTTATAACCAGCGCAAATGCGAACGCCCTGGATGAAACCTCAGAAACAGCCATGAGCTCCCAAGAGGTCACATGTGGCAGCCCACAATGTGAAGACCTGAGCAGGATTTTGCTCTTCTCATGCCACTCTAAAAGCAGTTCTTTTTCCAAGCTTGACAGTTTTCAAGAGGAAAAATAATCTGTGGCCATTAGACTACATGGTAAGAATTATTATGAAAGTTCCTGTGGTAAATCAGTGGTGAATCTTGTGATACTTTTAATTTCCAAGTGTGTGCCATCCAGTCTGCATGGCAGATGAGAATGGACTTGGGCTGAGGATGCTGGAGAGCTGAGACACATTTTTGGAGGTGGGTTCAAGGCCAGTGCAAACACCAGGTGCCCCAGCTGAGCTCAGCGCCCCAGCAGTTCCACCTCTTTTTTTGCTCTAAGGGCACCAAAATAGGTAATATAGTGCTTGTCATAAAGGTTGTTTTTATAGTTCTGTCAAAATGTGGCCCAGATACGCAGCCCCTGTGCTGGTATCCTTAAACCTGCACAGATGTACCCTCATCACTCGAAGAGAAAAGGAGATGGTGACACCTGAACAGCTGCTTTTGGCTCCCAGCTGTTGGGCACAATGGTCCAGCGTGTCTGCAGAGGGGCTGAGTATTTGCTGAAAACAGAGTGTTTGGTGATCCATCCCTGCAGCTGTGGCCTCTTCAGCAGATCTCAGGGTTTTTTCTTTGTTATCATGGTTTTTTGCCAGGAATTTTGAAGAGCAGACAGTTTTGAAAGATATGTGGTTGCAAAACAAATGCTATCAGGAACCACTAAACAAAAAGCAATTTTACTTTTGCAGTGAGGCTGGAGTGCTCCTGGGGACTGACAGTGTGTCCTCATCCCACTCCTCACAAATATCCACCCTTGGCCACTGCCAGAGAAATGACAGGGGCCATGCTGATAGCGGGTCCCCTGCACTGACCAGATACACCCA